TTTAATATAATATAGATCATAAAATAATAAATCAGCCTTCTGAAACATGGAATCAAGATTTTCAGCTCTTCCCTCGTTGGGGTTCCCTGCAAATTCCAGAGGGGATTTGGGCTCTGCTCCAGGAACAGGGACAGGAGGAGAGGGAATGGCTCAGGGTGGAATCAGCAGGAATTTCCCCATGGAAAGGTTGTGAAATATTGTCAGGAGAAGCCCAGGGAGGTTTGGAGTCCCCAGCCCTGGCGGTGTCCAGGGAGGGACTGGACTGGTGCACTCAGAGCTCTGGGCACAGGTTGGGTTTAATAATCGCAGAGGTTTTTTCCAAGCTCGCTGATCCTGTGGCTGTGTTTACAGCATAAATCATGAGAGGTTGTAGGTGTGATCTTAACCTGTCACTTGGGACATTTAGGAAATATTACAGGTACCTTTATGTGTTTTTCACTTGGAGGGACAGGTTATGAACAGTGAAATATCCTGTTTACCAAGCCAGTGCTGTGTTAAATCTGCATTTTCAAGAGATGCCTTGAGATGGAAATCGCGTTTCTGAGTATGACTTTCCATTTCAAAGGTATAAAAAGCACCTGAGAAAATGTAAATTAAAAAAAAAAATGCCTTGAAGGAAAAGGGGAAGGGGAAAGGTCAGCTGCACGCAGTTTGTTGTGGCTGTGTGTAATCGTGGCAGTGGCATCTGTTCCCTGTTATTGTTATAAAAATGTGATTTCATTAGCTTTGGGATGAATCACGGGCTGGGGAGCTCTGCTGGAGCTGGCTCACAGTGGGCTCAGCCTGTCAGAGTGCATATGCTGAGTCTGGCTGGGGCAGGCAGAGCTCCAGGAGGGCCCTGGGGATGCAGGATGGAGCCTGTCTGCTCCTCAGCCCTGCTTGGGGCCACCTGGGGCTGCTCAGGATGGAGTGCTGAGCTGGCTGGGCACTGCCTCAGAGGGTGGCTGTGCCTCACCAGCTCGGGGGCACACAAGGACTGGTCAACTCCAGTGGCAGGTACTGGATCTTCTGGGCAGCTGAACTGGGCTGGACTGGGACTGCTGTGTCACTGCTTTGGCACAGAGAGGCACATCTGAGCTGGGTGGGGTGAGAAATGGAGGCTGTGGGGGTGAGGAAAGGATTTTTGGGGCTGAGGAATGGGCATGGAGGTTGAGAAATGGATTTGTGGGGGTGAGAAATGGACGGTGTGGGGTTGAGGAATGGAGGTGTGGGAGTGAGACATGGACAGTGTGGTGTTCAGGAATGGACGGTGTGGGGTTGGGAAATGGGCACGGGGGATGAGAAATGGATTTGTAGGGGTGAGAAATGGATGGTGTGGGGTAGAGGAGTGGATGGTGTGGGTGAGAAATGGGCAGTGTGAGGTTGAGAAATGGAGCTGTGGGTTGAGGAATGGAGGGTGTGGGGTGAGAAATGGCTGGTGTGGGGTTGAGAAATGGATTTGTGGGGCTGAGGAATTGGCAGTGTGGGCCTGAGGGATGGGCATGGATGTTGAGAAATGGATTTGTGGGGGTGAGAAATGGACGGTGTGAGGTAGAGGAATGGACGGTGTAGGGTAGAGGAATGGATGGTGTGGGGTTGAGAAATGGGCGGTGTAGGGTTGGGAAATGGGCATGGGGGGTGAGAAATGGATGGTGTGGGGTTGAGAAATGGATTTGTGGGGGTGAGAAATGGATGGTGTGGGGTGGAGACATGGAGGTGTGGGGTGGAGAAATGGAGGTCTGGGGTTGAGAAATGGATGGCCTTCCTCCTCCTGGAAGGAAGAGGCAGAAGGGGTTCAGCATCTGCTGCCACAGGAAGGGCTTTGGCCGCACGGCCCCATCCCGTGTGGACTTGGGGATGTGGGGCTTGAGGAAGCCACAGGGAGCTCCTTGTGCAGCTCCTACCCCAGCAGAGAGCTCCAATTCCTCCTTTCCCAGCTCCTTCTTTACCAGAGAGCTCCAATTCCTCCTCACCCCCATCCCGGAGGGCTGAAAAATCCCTGCAGGGCAGTCACTAAAATCTGCTTTTCTCAGAAGGTGCCGTCCCATCCCTTGCATTTCTCTGGCTCCCAATTATGCCTTTATTTTTCCTTCTTCTCGCTGTTAAATCCTTAACTTTGAGCATTGCCTTTGAAATCTGTGTCTGGTGGAGATTTGCAGTGCAAGTCACCTATTGCTTGAACCTTGATTGATTATTACCCAGCTACTCCAAAGGGATAAGCTCTGGTCTGGTGCTTCTGCAGCGTGGATTTTGTGTTAATTATGTGGGAATCTGTTAATTGCATGGCAAATCTGAGTAAATGGAATAAAAAGCTGATTATTGCAGTACAAGGGATGTTTTTCCTGTCAGAATTGGAGCATCCCATGGGAAGAGAAGTTCTTCCTGAGGAAACCTCAGCCCTGGTGGCTTCACCCAGTGCCTGGGGAATCCTGAGCATCCCTGAGCCAGGCTCTGCAGGTCCAGGTGCTCCTGGCTCCCTCTGCAACATTTTCCTCATCATTCATGGAGCAGCAGTCCAGACTGGTGACATTTATCACGATGGGGAAGACAGAAATGATTTTTGAGGGCAACCAAGTTCAAAGATTTTGCTGTAAGTCTTCAGGATTAAAGATTTACTTGATGCATCTCCCCCTGTTTAATAGACAGGAAGAGATGAAAGGGAATTTCTAGAAAGATTTTCGTTCATACTTAATGATGCCACTATTAGATGAGCTTTGGCACAGTGTCCCGAGCCATGAAGCTTTAAAACCAACCTTTTTTAAACATTAAATGACCTTTTTTCATCCTCCAGCTTTAATAAATAAAGATTAGTTCAGCCTCATTACCTCCCTAGTGCTGGGGGCTGGTTTAATATTTAGTTAAAGTAACCAGGCTCCCAAAATGAGCACATTTTGCTGGTTTCCCAAATCCCACAGGGAGGTTGGAAACTCTTCTGGAATGTGATCTGAGTTCTGGAACTGCTGCTGCCACTTCCGGCCTGGATCCAGCTCTCCATCTGAATTCCTTTCTTTCCAAAACCTGCACTTTTTCCCTTTTCTCTCCCAAAGTTCAAATTCAATCAGAGCTGAGTAGGTTAAAGAGTTTTGCTGTTTTGGGTTCCTTTTCCTCCCTTTTCCTCCCTTTTCCTCCCTTTTCTACACCTTCAGGGAAGTTTTCAAGGTTTTCAAAAATAAGAATAGAAAATCCCACCCTGAACAGAAATTTAAAACATCTCTGTACAAACTTTTTTTTTGCTTAGCTGGCTTGAGGAAACTGTTCCAAATGCTTTGCTTTTGACTATTTTTATACTTCAAAATCACTTAACTGTGCATTAGTGGAAGTGGGTTTTGTTTGAAAGCTGCCAATTAGGAAAATACGTGAAAAACATTCCCCAATTTGGCAATTTTGAAGCTTTAAATTAGAAACTAATGAATCTGAGAATGCTGACATCCACTCCCCCAGTGCTGATCTTTAATTTCACACAGTCAGCACCTGAGCAGGAGCTGCACTTGGTGATGCTCATCATGGATTTACCCTTCCCTAGCAGCAGGGCTGCAAGAAAAGTTCCTGCAAGAACTTTCTCCTCTGCTTCTCTCCTGGAAAAGTGGAGTTTGTGGCAAATTGCTCTCCCAGCTTTGTTCTAATTAAAAGAAGTCATCAGCCATGTTAATATCCTAAAACCCCTGCTCCTGGCCTTGGAGGAAAGCACAAACCTTTTTGTGGCATAATGAGATTAAAAAGAACTCAATTTAACTCCCATAAAACTGGGAAAAGATAGGAAAAGGAGGAATTGTTGAGTTCCCTTTTTCCTTTCCCTTTTTCCTTTCCCTTTTTCCTTTCCCTTTTTCCTTTCCCTTTTTCCTTTCCCTTTTTCCTTTCTCTTTTTCCTCCTTTCTTTTTCTCCCCAGCACCTGAGCAGTGCTGAAGGGCACTTCTCCCTGTGGATGGATATTTTGGGGAGGAAAGATAAGAATTGGTGGTTTTTTAACAGCAGCACTGCTCTCCCCCAAATAAAGTGGAAAATCTGCATTTTGGGGTGCACCTTCTGTTAGCCAGGATAAACCCACTGGGGTGCCAGCTCCTTATCAAATTCTGCCCTGAATGCAGGGCATTTTCTGTTTGGAAAATGTTTGTCCCTCCCCACCCAGGGCTGCTTCCTGAAATATCCCAGCTCCTCAGCACCCCAAAGGAACCATCCCGGGGTTTTTGGGGACATTCTGCCTTCATTAGGATGTGAGGCAGCTCCTGGATCTGGGTTTTTTAGGGTTGGGCATCTGGATGAGCCTGTCTGGGAGCAGCCAGCCCGTGTGGCAGTGGGTGCTGGGAGCCTGGCAGCGTGGGTGGCTGTGCTGTGGCGTTCCAGCAGGTAAAACAGAGATTTCTCTGCAGAGATTTCACCACCCACCTGTCTGGCAGGGCCTGGGGAGTGGGAGAAGCAGCGGGAAAGGCCACGTGTGGGAAGGGGGATGTGGCAGCTCTGGTGGTGACAGGAGCACAAACAGAGCTCCTGCAGGGATCAGGAGCGTGGGTGATGCTGGAGAGGATACCTGGAACAGGGGCTGGGTGGAGTTAAAGGAATAAAGCAGGGATTTATTAAAAGGGTTTTAAAGGCTGTACAAGAGCCTGGACAAGGCTACACCCAAGATGGACTCCAGGTTACGAGTTTTCACACTTTTATAAATTTTGGTGCATTTTCATATTGGGGTTAATTGTCCAATTCCAGCTCCAGGTGATGCAGTCCCACCTTCCCAGGTTGCTCTCTGTTGTTCAGTTTTCTGTTGTTTGTTGCTCAATTCTCTGTTGTTTGCACTTTTTGGGCTGAAGCTGCAGCGGTGTCCTTGGTTCTGGGGCTGGACAAGGATTGTTCTGTGGGACTGAGCTGTGAGGAGAACTTCTAACACTTTATATAAAGTTCAGAGCTGTATTCCAATGCAGTGTAGAATGTGGAAAACATGAAAGCTCAACCTTAAGGCATCATGGGGATGGGGAGGGGAGTGCAGATCCCAAACCTAACCCGTGCCTACACCATTTTCCCCCCACAGCTGCCATCCTGGATGACCCCATGGAGTGCAGCAGAGGGGAGAGGCTCTCCATCACCCTGGCCAAGAACCGCATCAACCGCGCGCCCGAGCGGGCGGGCAAGGCCAGGGTGGAGGTGGACATCTTCGAGCTGCTGAGGGACAGCGAGTACGAGACAGCTGAGACCAGTGAGTACCAGCCCTGGGGTGCCTTGGGGAGGCTGGGGTAGAGCAGAGGCTGGAGGAGTTAAAGAATAAAGCAGGGGTTTATTAATAGGCTCAATGGATGCACCTTGGGCAGCACAAGAGCCCAGCCAGGGATGCACCCGAGATGAACCAAAATAGTCCCAAAATGAACCCAAGATGGTCCCAAAATGAACCCAAGGTGAACGCAAAATGGTCACAAAATGAACTCAAGGTGAACCCAAAATGGTCTCAAAATGAACCCAAAATGGTCACAAAAGGAACCCAAGATGAACCCAAAATGGTCTCAAAATGAACCAAAATGCTCACAAAGTGAACTCAAGGTGAACCCAAAATGGTCCCAAAATGAACCCAAGATGGACCCAAAATGGCCCCAAAATGCACGAGCGCTCCCGGGGTCTCTCCCTTGGATCAGTTCTGCTCCATTTGCACCTTGCAGTTCATTGTCCCATTCCAGCTTTAGCCCCTGCAGTCCCACCCTGCTTGTTTTTCTCTCTCCAGCCCACGGTGTTTGTGCTCCTGGGCTGAGATTGGGATCATTTGTCCTTGGTGCCCAGCTGGAGCAGGAATTGTTTTGTCTCCCTGCTCTGTGCACAGAGCTCAGCATCCCCTGATGTGAACCCAGACCCACACACTAAAGCAGCACAGAACCTGAAATATATATAACCTGTATAAAATATAAAACCTGAGGCATCACCAGAGAGCCCAGCTCTCCTCCCAGGAGCCATCTGGCACTCTGAACTTGTGATTTTGTCGCAGTCAAAGGGGAACAGAGAGAAAAAACCCCATCTCTGCTCCTTGCACTGAGCAGTTTCCATTTGAGATGAATGAAATGTGCTGGTGCGAGCTCAGGCGTGGACTGAGAGAATCCCTGCCCCCAGGAAGCTTTGCCACCACTCAGTGGCTTGGGACAAATAATTTCCTTTAATCTGCCTGTCAATAAACAGGGGTAATGCTGATCCTTTGTCAAGAGCTTAATGGTGAGCAAACAAGAGACTCTCGGGCAAGTTGGGTGCAATTAAGTTGTTTTTAAAACCCTGTGGAATCCTGTGTGTCAGCAAACAGAGCAGCTCTTCCTGGAGCTTCTTGAGGTTGGCAGCAGATTTATTTACACCAAGTGGAGTTCCTCAAGTGATGTTTGAAATCTTGAGGGTGAAGAAGAGCTAATTTCCAAAGAGAGCAGATTTCCCAGTCACTTTCAAATCCTTGGATGAAGCTGTTCTTTATTAGGATTGTTCCTCTGGATGTCCAATATGCCAGCTCTGTGCTGGTGAATAAAAAATAAATTTATGCTCACTGTCCCACAGTTTGAAAGGAACCCTAAAGGTCTCTGATATTTTTTTTCCTGTAAGAGGGAAAACCTTTTGGAATAGGAAATCCTCCTTTTAAAATAATTTTAGAGTTCAAGGGAGTGCTATAATTTTTTATTACCAGTTGGCTCGGGAAAGCTGGAGGAATAATTTTAAATAATCTGGATTTTAGACTCGTTTCCTAATGATTCTGCCTTCCATGACTGTGTGATCTGCAGGGTTATCCCCAAAAGGTGTGGCAGGGTGTTGTCCTTTGGGGCTGGCTGGTTTTTCCTGGACTTTTGGTGGCTTTTCTGCTCAGGGATCTCCAGGTCGAGCAGCTCTGTGGGGCTGTGGGATCAGCACATCACTCCCTCATTTCCTGCACCAGCGTTTGCTCTATTTATAGGAGTGTGCAGTTAATAAAGAGATCTCAGCAAGAACCTGGGTTTATTTATAGAGCCTGTCAGGCAGCCCAGGCTGAGCCCAGCTCAGGCACCTGCACCCAGCCCGAACCATTTTTAAACATTTTCCTGGTTTTCCCCATCTCTGTTGTCCCCTCTTGTCCCCTAACTTGGCACAACATTAAGGCAAGCCCAATTTATCTGGCCAGACCAATTAAGACCCAATTTATCTGGCCAGACCAATTAAGATCCAGTTTATGTGGCCAGACCAATTAAGATCCAGTTTATGTGGCCAGACCAATTAAGCTCCAGTTTACCTGGCCAGATCTTGCAGAAAAGATGGGAATTGCCATGGAATCCCAAACTGGGATGGGTTGGGAGGGACTTGAGGCTCATCCAGCTCCACCCCAAGCTGTCCTTAGACACCTCCACTTTTGGATGCCAGCTTCTCTGGGCATCCAAAAGTGCATTTTTACCCCAATTTTTGTTCTTTCCTCGTAAATATCCTGCTTGCAGCAGCACTCCTGGCCTCTAGTTTGGTTTTTGGGGAGCAGACCTGATTGCAGGGACCCCAGAGCTGCTGTAAGGATCACCAGAGGGATTTCTGATTCATTTTCAGCCTGTGACACTGCTCAGGAGTTCTTCTCCTGGAAGGTTTCTCCACCAGAGGAATATTAATTGGCTGAGAATGAAATATTATTCAAGAATTTGTTGTTTTCAGCAAATGTTGTGCGTGGGGAGAAACTGGGAAAAGGACAAGTAAGGAAAAGGCATCTCCCATTTCCAGTTTTCACCTTGGGGTGATTTTCTTTGTTTCCTTTACTTGGGTTTTTAGAGTAGAAATTGCAGCAAATTGACTTGATTTTAGTGAATTTTGCAGTGTGTTATTTGCCTTTTCTTCAGAGGGGAAAAAATGTCTGGAAGCTTTTCTTAGAAAAGAAATAATCTGGATTCTGTATGGCTCTGCTATTAATGTCACTGATGTTATTCTTGATTTATCCTGGTGGCAGAGGAAAATCAGATCCCCAAACTTGAATTTCAAGGCTTTCATGGCTTTCAAATGCTTCAATACGTTGCTGGTTTTTGTTATGACACACAATATTAATAAAAACTGTTGAGATGTTTTAACCTGTGACTGCAAAGCTGTTTACAGCTGTTTAATACTGTTCTCGCATTTCACACTCCTTGATTCACTCTTAAATATCACAGCTCCCTGCTTAGCTGACAGATCTGGGAGTGCTGGGATTACACCACATACTCCAAATACAGGAAAAGGAAGAATTTTGGGGAGAAAGGGTTTTTATTTGGGGAGTAAGCGTTATTTTATTTTTATTTTTTTAATTTTTAAAAAATTTTTTAAAAATTTTATTTTTATTTTATTTTTATTTTATTTTTATTTTATTTTTATTTTATTTTTATTTTATAGTTTATTTTTTATTTTTATTTTTGTATTTTATATTTTATTTTATATATTTACTTTATATTTTTAAATTTTTTTAATTTTTAATTTTGTATTTCATTTTAATTTTATTTTTATTATTATTTATTTTTTAATTTTCTATTTGATTCTATTTTATATTTTATATTTAATATTTTTATATCTTATTTTATATTTTATATTTTATATTATTTTTATTTTTGTTTTATTTTTATTCTTATTTTATTTTAATTTTATTTTTATTTTATTTTTACTTTAATTTCAATTTTTATCTATTTTTTATATATTATATTTTATTTTTATAATTTTTTTTCCTGGCACCGTTTTTCTCCCATTTTCCCTTCTGACTGACTCAGGTGTTTCAATGTAAGAAAATCTGAGCTGCTCCAGCAGGTAAAATCCCACTCAATCCATCACATTCATGCCTGGTTTGCTATTCCAGCCTTAGATGTGAATGAACACAAACTTTGGCTGTTCCTGTGTCATTTTAAGGAGGTTTCAATGAGAAGCTGTGAGCAGAGCCTTTATTTATTTTGGTTTTTTGCTGTTTCGAGGAAAACCTGTTCTCTCTCTGTGTTTGATGTTCCAGCTCCCTTTGTGCAGCTCCAAAGTGACTTGTTTAATCATGTCTTTATCTAAACCACCTTGTTCCCTTTGATGTCTGGGCAGGACACATTTCCCTGCTTGTCACCCTGTCCCCTCTGGCCTCCTCAGCCTTTTAAGCTCCTCTTTGTTGTGAATCCAGTTAAAGTAACCAGGCTCCCAAAATAAACACATTTTGCTGGTTTCCCAAATCCCACAGGGAGGCTGGAAACTCCTCTGGAATTTAATCTGGGTTCTGCTGCTGCCACTTCCAGCCTGGATCCAGCTCTCCATCTGAATTCCTTTCTTTCCAGAACCTGCACTTTTTCCCTTTTCTCTTGTATTTGCTCCCAAAATTCAAATTCAATCAGATCTGAGTAGGTAAAAGAGTTTTGTTATTGTTATTTTGGGTCCTTTCCCTTTTTCCATTCCCCTTTTCCCCTTTTCCCCTTTTCCCCTTTTCCCCTTTTCCCCTTTTCCCCTTTTCCCCTTTTCCCCTTTTCCCCTTTTCCCCTTTTCCCCTTTTTTTTTTCCTTTTTTTCCCCTTTTTTCCCCTCTTTTTTCCCCCTTTCCTTTTCCCCTCTTCACCTTCAGGCAAGTTTTCAAGATTCTCAAAAATAAGAATAGAAAGTCCAGGGCAGGTCAGGCAGCAGCTGGAGAATTGAAGATTTTGGTTTATCTACACAATGGATATTTCAAAGTGCCCTTCCAAAGGGTCCTTTCAGTGTTGTTGACTCCAACATGTTGTTTTTTGGGTTTTTCTTACCTGTCCCACTATTTGGGAACATAAATTATTTATTTATGCTTCAGTTTTGTGTTCCGTTTCATTTTCAGCCTGTTCTGGTTATCAGGGAAGGAATGGTTGGGGTTGGAAGGGACCTTAAGGATCATTTTTTCCCACCTTTTGCCATGAGCAGGGACATTTTCCATTATCCCAGCTTGCTCCAAGCCCTGTCCAAGCTGGCCTTGGACGCTTCCCCAGCCTCTCCATCCCTCTCTGGTGTCAGGTTCCTGTCAGGAAGCACAAGGGATGCTCCAGGAGCATCTCCAGAACCCCTTTTTCTTTATGCCCTTGGTGTTTTCTCTCTGAGAATCCCATGGCCAGTCCCTGTCTCTGGAGATCTCGGCTCTGTTTTGCAGTCAGGGAGCTCCTGAGGTGTTTCCACACTTTCCCTGCTGGTTTATTTTGAATTATAACCAGGAATCCTCGGTGTGTTCTGTTTGAAACCCTGCTCAGGTATCTCTGTGCTCTCAATGAGATGATTCTGCCCCAGGGGTGGCTCCTCTCTCTGGAGGGACCTTCCAGCCCTGCTTTGAACAGGGCAGGATTCATGGAAATGTTTTCCTGGGATCTCAGGAGGTGAAAGGCACTCTGGCCATGTCTGAGGGGATGTGAATACATTTATCACCAAGAGCTCCTCGTTTGTTGTGCTTTTTCATGTTCAAAAATAAGTTTGCAGCTCTGCCTTCCTTTAGAAAATCTCTTGCTATGTGCCAAGTGCCCAGATGTGGATTTAATTCCCAAATTCACTCATGGAAATGGTTGGGCACTGCCCTGCTGTAAAAAAGGAGGGTCCCTGTGCCCTGAGCACACACCTGATCCAGATCTCAGGAAGAGAAAGGCACTCTGGCCATGTCTGAGGGGTTGTGAATACATTTATCACCAACAGCTCCTCATCTGTTGTGTTTTTCATGTTCAAAATAAGTTTGCAGCTCTGCCTTCCTTTAAAAATATCCTGCTGTATCCTAAGTGCCCAAATGTGGGTTTTATTCCAAAATACCCTCATGGAAATGGTTGGACACTGCCCTGTGCCCTGAGCACACACCTGATCCAGGATGGTAAAGAGGTTTTTAAAGTGGTGCCACTTCAATTCCAGCACTTTTGAGACCCTGAATTCTAAACAACATCAAAACTGGGGCAGAAACTCGGAGCTGCTGGAGCCTGCAGCATCCCAAAGGGCCCTGCACAGCCCTCAGCTTCTGTGGTGTTGGAGTATGAGGGGATTGGAGTGGCAGGGGTCTGGAATTATCCATGGTTACAGTCCCTGGGATTATTGGGTGGATTCTGGATACAGGACCAACATTTCCACGTGCTGCCAGTGCTTGTGTGGATGGCAGCAGCAAGGTCGAGCCTTTTCTCCCTGAGAGCCCTGACAGCACCAGGTAAAACAGGAAATGTGCTTGGATTACAAGAGAATCTTTCCAAACGTGCTCAAAACCTTTGCCTCAGGCACCTCCACTTTGTTTCCACTCATTTTCCTTCATTTTTGTGGATGTTTCCCCCTGGTAGTGATAAGCCAGGTCTTTTTCTTCCTCCAGTTGTTGCAACCCTGTTGCTATGGCTACTTAACCCACTTTTTGCTCCTGCTGGGAGGCACGAGGAGAAAACCACTCCCCAAACTTTCCCCCTTGCATGCCACAACAAAATTTTCCTCAGGAATTTTGTGCTGGTGACCTGTGAGAAATGGAGAGCTTGGAGCAGCTCCTGCCTCATGGATGCTGAATGGCAGAGCTGAGAGGCACTGATGAGTGCTGCTTTCAGCCTGGTGCTCCTCATTTAAAAGGATCTTCTGGAGAGCTTTAAGTGCCTGTAAATTTTTTAAGCACGGAGGAAAAGCAAGCCCTGGATTCCTTTGAAGATGCTGCAGAAAAAAATATCCCTCCATAGGAGATTGAGTTGTTGGAGGGAGAGGGAGCTGAGGAGGAAGGAAAACCCAAGAGGAGATGTTTGCATTTCATGAGCACTTTCTGTAAGAAGTTGGAGCAATCAGCAGGGACTGGGGAGGATAAGGAGTTTTTTCCCTTCAAAAGAGAAGCAAAACCAATTCCCCAGAGTGACAAATTAAATGAGATTTGGGCTTCATTTTCCAGGCTGTGGAGGAGAATAAGGCCAGAGATCACAGAATGGTTTGGATTGACAGATCATCTTGTTCCACCTCCTGCCATGGGCAGGGACAACCTTGGGCACTTCCAGGGATGCAGGGGCAGCCACAGCTTCCCTGGGAAAACTTGAATTCACTCCCCAAACCCCAAACTCAACCCCAAACGTGCTGTTCTAGCTCACCCCAAGCACAGTGAGCTTTTATTCCCCTTTCAACCTTGATTTAAAGACTTGAAATCACTAAAACCTATCCCTGATCTTCTGCTCAGCAGTTTTGATGATGAATTTGCTTTACTACCAAAATAAACCCCGCCATGTCCAGATTTGAATTTTTCCAGCTCAAATAACTCTTCACAACCCTCACAAGAGTTGTTCTGAGGTGCAAGCCAGGGGAAGAGGCAGGTTTGATTGTGGTGACAGCTGAAATCTCAGCTTTGGCATCCAGTGGTTTGGTTTTTGTACACAGAAACCTTGTGAGCTTGCTGTGGCCATAACTCTCAAGATTTTTGGTGCCTCCTTTCTCCCTTTTGGTGCCTCCTTTGTGCTCAGAAAGATTGCAGTTGAGAAAATGTGGTTTTGTCTGGGGAAAAGCTGAGTGAGTGAGGATGATGAGGCAAGTGAGCTCTCAGGAGGCTTTTGGAGCTCAGGGGTTGAGGCATGAGGGGCTCTCCCCTCCTGTTCAGGAGGTTTTTCCTGCTCTGCAGAAAAGGTTCTGAGTGATGCAGGGGATGGGGATGGCAGCAAGGAGGTGGAAATTCAGCTGGATTTGTGCTGTGAATTAAAAGGACCCAAAAACCCCCCTTGCAGTTTAACCCAGGAAGAGATTTAACTTCAGTTTATCAGGTGTTTTTTATGGCTCTGCTAACCTTGGTGGCAGGGAGCCAGAAGATTTCACTACTGCCAGCAAGAAAACAACACCAAACAAATGAAAACCAGCAATGAAATCCTTGTTTTTACCGCTGAACTCTGCAAAGATGAGGGGAGAAATTGCTACAAGCCCGTTTGATGCTTTAAAGCCAGGGCACTGCTGTGTTTAGCATCTTTCCATAAAGTTTAGTTCATGTTCCTGACCTGGGGACAGAAAGGGGTCAGAGATGAAGATTCTGGGGTTTTGGGGAGAGTTGAGGTGGGGTTTTAGAACTGGGGGAAGATGGAGTGTGCTTCAGGGGGAATAAAGGGAATTTGGGGATGGAAATGGCGCAGAGGGTGCTGTGGGAAGGAGATGAGGCTGTGTTCTTACTGAGCATGGCTGTCTTCTGGAATTTGGGATGAATTCTGACCTCTGTTCCCTCTCGTGCTGCCCACAGTGTGCCAGATTCTCCCCAAAGGCGTGGTGGGAGTCCTGGGACCTTCCTCCAGCCCAGCCTCCAGCTCCATCATCAGCAACATCTGTGGGGAGAAAGAGGTGAGTGGGAAATCCCTTTGTGATGTCAGCGTGGTTGATCCCCCTCGTCCTAATGCACAGACCTTTGAAACATCTCCCTTTCCCCTCTGCTGCCTCTTTCTGCCTCCCTTTTCCTCCCTGCACCCCCTTTTGCTCCTCACATTCATCCCCACATCCCCACTGAGGGCTGCACAGCCCAAAGCTCACCCTGCTGGATGCAAACCCAAATCTCCTGCTGTGGCTTTGTGCACATTCTTGGGGAGCTTTATGTTTATTGCTCTTCCATCCAGTTCAGCCCCTTTTTTTTTTTATCTCTGTCCAGGCTATGTGCTGGATTTAATATTTTATAAGCCCTGAACCTTCCTACACGGATCTGGCTCTGCACTCTGGAAAAGAAATTGAGTTTTCTTCTCACAGTTCATCCCTTTAAAGGCTGATAACATCTCTCAGCCATTTAGTGGCTCTCTCTGGAGCTCAGCCTTCCAACAGAGGAGGCTGGCACTGAGCACTGTAAATAATTTGCATTCACAAATGAGTGCTGGTTTGCAATACAACACTGGTTGTTCCTGGGGGTAGGAAGGGATGGATGGGAGGGATCCTCCAGCCCTGAAGCACGGGGCTGCAGCAGGAGGGGTCTCCTGGGGCTGTTTTGTAGTATTTTCTCTCGCTAAATGCCCTGGACTTGTTCTCCATGCCGGGAAAGGCAACTCTGCAAGTGGTTTTCCTCTGAAATTCAGATTCATTCTGAGTCTCTGATCTGAGGCTCCTGATTTTTTTTTTTTTTTTTCTTCAGGAAGGACAGGTGAGTGCTGGTGCCCTCCTGAGGTGTTTGGTTCTCTCTGTGAGATGTAAACCTGCAGGAACTCTGTGAGATTTCCATCCCAGGAGCATCAGCTGGGGCACAGACCCCCTGTGCCTGCAGCCACCCCTCGGGGACAGGGAGCAGTGTCCCCAGGCAAGCACTGGAGGGACTGATGATCTGGGGGATGAACCTGTCCTGTGTTACCCCTCTCCAGAAAGGGGAATTGCCCTGGGATAGTGTTACAGGGCTTGCAAGGGTTTTTCAGGGTGATGAGAGAGGCAAGAATGTTGATTTCATGTTCAGAAGGCTTGATTTATTATTTTATGCTATATATTACATTATTACTATGCTAGTAGGAATAGAGAGAAAAGTTCTCAGAAGCTTGCTACGCTAAGAATAAAAAATGAATGAATAACAAAGTTCTGTGTCCAGGCAGAAAGCAAGAACAGCTCTGCCGTTAGGGGTCAATAAATCTAAACATCTACCCGAGACCAATCACTAATCCACCTGTTACATTCCACAGCAGCAGATAACCATTGTTTACATTTTGTTGCTGCGGCCACAGCTTCTCAGAAAGGGGAAAAATCCTAAAGAAAGGATTTTTATGAAAAGATGTCTGTGACAGGATAGAGTTCTTGGATAGGAGAGGAGGGTTCCTGGAGATGAGAGCAGGGGCTGAAAAGGGCTGTGCTCTGCTCTGATGTGTTTTGTGGATTTCTCCCGCACAAGAATTCCTTTCCCCCATTCCATAAAGGGGAATTGCAGTGGGACAGAGCTCTTGGAAAGGAGAGGAGGGTTCCTAGGATGAAGGCAGGAGCTGAACAGGCTGTGCTCAGCCCTGATGCGTTTTGTGGATTCTTTCCACACAAGATCCCCTTTCCCCTTGTCCCTAAAGGGGAATTTCACTGGGGCAGAGCCCTTGGACAGAAGAGGAGGGTGCCTGGGACGAAGGCAGGGCTGAGCAGGACTGTGCTCAACTCTGATGGGCTGTGTGGATTTCTTCTACACAATATTCCCTTTCCCCTGTCCAGAAAGGGGAATTTCACTGGGGCAGAGCTCTTGCACAGAGGAGAAGGGTTCTTGGGGATGAAGGCAGGGGCTGAACAGGCTGTGCTCAACTCTGATGTGTTTTGTGGATTCCTTCCACACAAGAATCCCTTTCCCCTGTCCAGAAAGGGGAATTGCACTGGGGCAGAGCTCCTGGACAGGAGAGGAGGGTTCCTGGGGATGAAGGCAGGAGCTGAACACTGAACAGTGCTGGATTCCTTCCCCTGTCTCTGCACCTCTGAGCCCCAGGCTGGTGTGGATCCCTCCCAGCAGTGATCAGGAGCTGCCCTGTCTGCTCTGGTTATGGAAATCCACCTTTCCCTCCTGGCTGAGGGCTGCGGGCTGGAATCAAGGCGGATAGCAGCTTATTACTCCTTAACTTCGCCCTGCTAAGCAGCAGCTCCTGCTGTCACTAAAGCAGCCTTGAGGAGCTGCTAATGGGCTCTCCCAGGAGGGGAGAGGAGGGAGCCGGGGGCTGATGGCTTCCGAAGGAGGCACAGAGGACCTGACACGCTGCTAACAAAGCTGTGGCAGATGTTTCCCTTCCTCCGACTTCTGCTTCTTCCAGAATAATTCACCTGGCAGGAGGAAAACAAGATTGCCTCTCTTAATCTGGCTGAGCCTGGAGCGTCTGGGCACGGTCTGTGTGTCTGTCCAGCACTCCATCCATGGTCTGCTTTGTATTTGCAGGGAGGAATGATGAGGAGGACTCCATCTTATCAGAAGGCTAATTAATTACTTTATTATACTATATTATTCAATACTATATTATGTAAGAGTCGAAATGAGGGATGTGGGACTCCAGGGGCTCTCCAAAATGCAGTTTATTGTATCCAAGACATTACAGCAGTCCAGGGTGGTGGGTGACAGAGCTGTGCCTACAACTGCCAGCCCCAGCTGCAGGCAGGCCTGGAGACCCTGAGTTTAGGTTACAATGCATTATATAGTTTTCTTTTGGTCACAATGCATTATATCCTTTTCTTTTGGTTACATTGCATTTTATACTTTTCTTTTGGTTACATTGCATTATATACTTTTCTTTTGGTTACAAATGCATTGTATACTTTAATTTTGGTTACAATTTCATTATATACTTTAATTTTGGTTACATTGCATTATATACTTTTTTTGCTGAGCATTTTAACACAGCAGAACCAATCTATACCTTAACTTTTACCTCTAGCCTATCATAACTACTGTAATTACCATATTCATGTTTGTGTTCTCCAGTCACTAAAAGTCAGTGCATTACAGTTTTAGCTAGAAGTTGTTTTTCAGTTTTCTTGCAGTGGAAAATTCTGAGACCTTTTTTCTACTTGCAGCTTTGCTGCCTTGTTTGCCTGTGCTCTCTTCCTGCTTGGTAAAAACATCTCCTTGTTTGGGGTGGGTTTATCCTTTGCTCTAAGCCATAAAAACCCTTCTAACTAACACACCATTTGCCTCCTTGGTTATCCAGTGAGACTGGCTCAGCAATTCTTTTCTTCTGTATCAAAACTTGCTTCCATCTCTATTCCTTCTTCAGATTCTACATTCAAAAATCTTTCTGCCAAGCACACGTATCTGTGAGACTTTCTTGTCAAACTTTCATCGTTCCCAACAATATTACACTATATTACATTACATCTAAACTGAATCTGCCAAGCACTCAACTCAACTGCCCAGAATCTCATGACTGTCAGCCCACAGTTCTGACAGACACATGGCCCTGATAGGCCAAGGAAACAAAACCCCATCACTGTGGGTAAATTTCCATATTGGATTCTACTTTGGCACAAACACAAGCACAGCAAATGAGATAAGAATTGGGGTTTTTTTTTCTTTCTCTGAGGTTGAGAGAATGTGAAACCCAGGAATATTCTTGGGAAGAATCGTGCCTTGCTTTTCTCTGTGAGGAGAAATGTGGCTGCAGCCTGCAGGATGTGCAGCAGAGCTCCCTCAGATTGAGCCCTGAGCCTTCCCAGCTCCCAAAACTCCCCCTGGAGCACATCCTGCTCCAGCTGCTGCTCTGCTGCATCCATCACAAACCCAGCCCTGTCTGGTCAGAAATGCCCAAAGCTTCAGGCTGCTGTGCTGTTCCTCCCCTGCCCAACCTTGCCAGCACGGGGTCATCTCGTTCTTGCCTTCAGCTGTGACGGTGCTCACAGGGGTTCTTGGATGAGGGAAGAGATGAGGATCTGACTCCATGTTTCAGAAGGCTTGATTCATTATTTTATGCTATTTATTACATTAAAACTATACTAAAAGAATAGAAGAAAGAATTTCATCAGAAGGCTGGCTAAGAATAGGAAGGAATGATAACAAAGGTTTGTGACTTGGGCTCTCTGTCCGAGCCAGCTGGGCTGTGATTGGCCATTAATTATAAACATCCAACATGGGCCAATCAAAGATCCACCTGTTGCATTCCACAGCAGCAGATAATCCTCATTTCCATTTTGTTCCTGAGGCCTCTCAGCTTCTCAGGAGGAAAAATCCTAAGGAAAGGATTTTTCATAAAAGTTGTCTGTGACATTCATCTCTGCTAATGAATTACCTGGTGGCCCCTCTGTGCAGAGGGCAGGGCTGAGTTCAGGGCCCTGGGTGATCCCTGTGTCCCTGCACAGCATCCTCCCCCAGCAAAGGCTGGGCCCAGCCACAATTAGTGCCCCAGCTAATTAGGCTGAGCTCACAGGGAAGGTTTCCTGTGCTGTAATCACAGTCCCTGGTGCCTTTCTCTGAGTGGCTCAGCAAGACTCTTCCTGCTCTGCTCCTTCCCGTGGTTTTTGTTGCTTTGATAATTATTTTCCTCTGCTGCTGCACGAGTCCCACCCTCCCCTCTTGACTCCAGTGCTGCTGCTGCAGCTTTATTGGGATATTCCACTTTCTGCCTGCTGCGTGCTTCACACCACAGGCCCTTCATCACAGATTTACTTGTTTTCATTTCTACTTCCTCTTTAATTATATTTTCTTTCCTCAGGTTCCTCACTTTAAAGTGGCTCCAGAGGAGTTCCTGAAGCTGCAGCTCCAGAGGTTCACCACCCTCAACCTGCACCCCAGCAACACCGACATCAGCGTGGCCGTGGCAGGAATCCTGAATTTCTTCAACTGCACCACTGCCTGCCTCATCTGTGCCAAAGCTGAATGTAAGTCTTGGTTTTCCTGCCCCTCTGCTTCATCTCCTCTTTGTTTGGTCCCAGCTCCTCGTGTCTCTGCTCAGAGCAGCTTTTCCACTCCAGTTTCTCCACCCTGGTGCCCCATGGAGTGTGGGAATCCACAAAATCAGAGGGTTTTGGGGAAGCTGCAAAAGGCAGGCTCCAGAGGCAGTAGAACTGTGATTAGAGCTAAGCAGCAGCCATGAGATCAATTAGCAGAAAAATTATTTAAACTGTAGGAAAGCAAGGACAAATAGAACAATGGTCTGCGTATTAACGCTTGGCTAGAATAACTCTCTAAGCTACAGAAAAGTTTATCTAGCAAGATATTAGGAGGGTTGAAGCTTAATAATGGAGCTCTGTGATTTGTGTTTTAAGGCTTACAAGCAGGTGTTGTATTCAAAATAAGCAAGCATTGTTTAACCAAAGGTACCTGTGCTTATAGTGGTTGGATAGAACTACTGTCAATGTGCTTTTGCTTTGTGTGACTGGTCAAAAAACTTTTAAAGTGAGTTGTAACATTAAATTCTGAGTCTGCTGCCTGGGATGTGAGCTGCTGGCATCTTCCCATTGTCATAACCATGCAATGAGGCTGATGCTGGAAAATAAAACAGCTCAAGGCACATTCCACAGCACCGTCCCGTTTGTGGTCTGTAAACAGCCCCCGCCAGTGTCACTGGAGGAGTTTTTCAGAGGAGAAAAAGGATGGGTAGAGATGATCCTGCCTTCTGTTTGCCCATCTGAAGAGTGTTTTGCTTCCACAGATGGGGCTTTGGGTAAGAAAAAGAAAAAAATTTAAGAAAGGCGTAGGCCTGTTTCTGGAGGTTATTTTTAGGCAAGTAAAGCACTTTGAAATGTGGCTTGCTCAAAGCCACGTGCAGTTTGTGTGGCCTAAAAGTGGGATTTGAGTAACAGCACAGAGCATCCTCCTGGGCTCTGCAGCCTGCATCTGCTGGGCTGGGCTGTGTGGACAATGGGCCTTCGACCTCAGCAGGGCCAGATCCACCTGAGCAGGGCTGTATCCACCCTCAGCAGGGCCATCACAACCTCAGCAGGGCCATATCTATCCCTGCAGAGCCTTTTCTATCCCTGCAGGGCCATCTCCTCCTGAGCAGGGCCATCTCCACCCTCAGCAGGGCCAGATCCATCCCTGCAGGGCCAGATCCACCTCAGCAGAGCCATCTCCTCCTTAGTAGGGCCAGATCCATCTCAGCATGGCCAGATCCACCTTGCCAGGGCCATCTTCACCCTCGGCAGGGACAATCTCCTCCTTGACAGGGCTGGATCCATCTCAGCAGGGCCGGATTCACCTCAGGAGAGCCATCTCCACCCTTGCCAGGGCCATCTCCACTTGGACAGGGCCATCTCCTCCTCAGGAGGGCCCGAGCCATCTCAGTAGAGCCAGGCCTACAGGGCCATCTCCTCTCTTCACCAGGGCCCTCTCCACCTCAGCAAGGCCATCTCCAACTGAGCAGGGCTACATCCACCTCGCCAGGGCCATCTTCACCCTCTGCAGGGCCATCTCCTCTTCACCAGGGCCATCTCCACCTCTCCAGAGCCATCTCCTCCCTCTCCAGGGCCCTCTCCACCTCACCAGGGCCATCTCTATCCCTGCAGAGCTTGTGCTGTGGCAGGAGCAGGCTCAGCATCCCTGATCTCAGCGTGTCCTGTGCTTTCTGAGGTCACCATGCAGCAGATTTGTGGCGGCCACAGCAGCTCTGGGCTTTGCCAGCCACAGCAGCCTGGAAAAGGGGCTTTGGAACCATCCCTGGGTGCAGGGACAGCTTTGGGATTGTGTAGGACACGAAATAAAACAGCACTCAGGCTGGAACCTCCAAGGTAAAAAGAAGAGAAGTTTAATTTCTGACTGCAACATTTATAGATTTCCAAAAGTGACAGTGGATTGGAAGGTGACAGTGCCGCCTCTCCAATGACACTGCACAAACCAACAGCCCATCAAATTACAGAAAAAAATGTAAAACAATAATTATTCATATAAAACTGTGTGAGAAAGTTCATTACAAGGATGTAAACTTAGATAAGCTTGGAAGAACAAGGTGACAGGAATGCTGCTCTGTGACAGGGCCAGCACCATTCCCAGTTAGCAAACTCCCCAGCAGCAGCAGCTGATGGAAGATTCCTGCACAGGGACTCAGGGACCAGAAGTGTTTTTAGCTCCTCTTTGTGTTTTCTGTGCCCCAGGGCACCAGGCTGAGGTGGGTCAGTAAATCATCTTCAGTGAGCAGTGCTCACATCCACCCCAGGAAAGGCCCTGGCTCAAAATGATGCAATTAAAATCATGCAAATGGTCTCCCACATCACTTCCAGAGCTGGAATTTTTCATTGTCTAACCTTAACCTTAAGCAAGAAGGGAAGCAAAGATAATTAGGTTTTCTCAGCTGCCGTGCAGGAGGCTCAGGGCTCTGAACCCCTGCCCTGCTCCTGGGCCAGGAGTCTCCCACTGGAATTAACATGATTAATATGATTTTTATTTAGCTGGATCAAACCCTCTTACCTGAAGCAATCCAATTTATTTCGCTCTGGTGCTGCTGGATAACTCAATATTTAGGATGTGCTGAGTCCTTCCCAAACCCAGGGAAGCAGTGGGACAGGAGCCTTTCATCCTCCCAGCTCTTTGTGCTCAGCAAGGAGCTGATCTGAGCCAGGCTTGAAGCCCAACAAGCCCTGACTGTAACAGAGCACAGACAAGGCTTAATTGAGCTTCATGTAGGAGCACAAACCCTGATTTTCCCTTAGGACGTGCACTGCTCCTAAGCACAGTCCTTAAACAACTAACTGGAGGCATTTCAGGCTTTTGGAAGGTTCCCTTGAGGCAGCTGAGGGGAGCATGAGAGCTGCCTGCTCATCAGTGAGGAAATGCTGCTTTGAGGGATGTTATTATTTAGATCCCAGGAGGGACAAGCTGGAGCTGCTTTGGTTTAAGTGTGAGGCTGTGATGGGACCCCCGGGCCCTGCCCTGCCACACTCACCCTGTCACATCCTTCCTCTGGGGATTGGATGTGATTTCCCCTGGCAGAAGCAGAAAATGACCCTTAAACTTGGGCCAGCCTAAGTGCAATGCCTGGGGGATGCAAAATGTAAATGAGATTTGTGTGACTCGGTTTGGTGGATAGAATAAGAGTATCTGACTCAGTTTCTCTGTGGTGTTCAAGAATTAGCTGGTTTGGGAGCTGCTCTGGAAGGTTTTGTGTGGTTCCACAGAAATCTTAACCCAAAAAGGCAATTAGAGGAGTGCATGGACTTTTTAGGAGCTTCTGTGATTGCCAGAGAGGAGGGAATAGCACCCAGTGCTTAGGAAGTGTGACCAGGGCTTTGAGGTCCAAGGCCTTGTGTACATCCTTGGTCCTTTTTAAAAATTTTTATTTTTAATTCAAACATCCAGAGAGCTGTTTGAAGAACAGTGTTGGGATTAAAAACGAGGCTGGATGATGGGAATATTCTCTTCCCAACCATCCATGTCCAGGAGCGGAACCATCAGCAGCCCTGTAGCTCCTCCATCAGCAGGAGCACTAAACAGGGATGTGTTTGAACTCCAGGAATGCTCCAGCTCCTGCCTTTCCTCCTTCTCAGGAGCAGCGCCTCCATCAGCAGGAGCATTAAAAAGGGATGTGTTTGAACTCCAGGAATGTTCCAGCTCCTGCCTCTCCTCCTTCCCAGGAGCATTGAACAGGGATGTGTTTTAACTCCAGGAATGTTCCAGCTCCTGCCTCTCCTCCTTCCCAGGAGCATTGAACAATGTATTTGTACTCCAGAGATGTATTTGAGCTCCAGGACAGCCCCAGCTCCTGCCTTTCCTCCTTCCCAGCGCAGCTCTGCTGCTGAGAGCTCAGGAGTGAGGCTGCTCCTGCCAGCTCCGGATGTTTGCATAAGAAAAAAATCAAATAATCAAGGTCAGGACTTGCCACAGGCCAGCCTGAACCTCTCTCAGAGCTCCCCATGGGAGTGTTGGAGCAGCAGGTGCCTGGTGCAGCCTCTGTGTGCTCACTTTGGTACTTCAAAGGTGCCAGGAGGAGTCTGCAAGCCTTTGTGGGGTTCACATCCCTCTGAAGTGCCAGTCTGGCAGCAGCAGCGAGAGTCTCACATCCTCTCAGCATCAAACAAAGGGGAATCTCTGCACAATAGAGACTTCCCTGCACACAGCAAGAGCAGCTGCAAGCAGGAGGCTGGATGAGGCCACAGGTAGGATCTAATGTGCTGGAAATGGTAATTTCCTCGAGCTGAAGGTGGAGATCAAATGTTTCTTTCTTTTCTTTTTTTTTTTTTTTTATTCTCATTGTTCCACTTCTTCCTCTCTGTGCCTGATGAGCTTTAGAATTTTTTTCCTGGGTTTCACAGCAGCAGAGTTTGCTGGGATGAACTGCAAGCAAACTTGGTAGTGTCAGGGCTGTGATTTCCAGCAGCCCTGTCTGGCTCCCTGCAGATGTGGAATGAGGTGAAAATAAACCCTTCCACATCCTCAAGGGTCAAATGGAGGGCTTAGGTAAAACTCACTGTTCACCTGGGTTAGAAGACAGAAGAAATGTTCAGGTGAGATCCTGGTGTGCTCTGAGCAGAGTGAGTTCTCTGCCTGGTGAGGAAGAGGAAGGAGCTGATGTGACCCAGAAAAGTCCTGGCACAGCTGGTTTATAACCTCTTGCTGTGCTCCTACCTGTACCCAGAGAACAGGGGAGAGGCAAGGGCATTGCCAGGAGCTCAGAGCAAGCTCAGAGTGCTTTAAACCTCTCCCTGGGAAGGAGGGGCTCCTCATCTTGGACGTGTCCCTTTTCCTGCCCTGCTTTGTTCCCTGGTGAAGTCCTTGAGAGCAGAGCTCCAGCACTGATCCCACCCTGCTGCGACCCTCCCCTGCCTCCCGACCTGCTGGGGAATGAGTGGATTCATGCAGTCAGAAATAAGTCAGGTTAAGAGTAAAACTCTGACTTGAGGGTTAATTTGCCTCTCTGGCAGCTGGGCTGTGATCCTGCTGATGGTTCTGTTTCTCCAGCTCCGTTTCCCCCCTGTTTTGGGGTTGTCTTCCTGAGGGGATGGGATGCGTGGCTATGCTGTCTGTGTCGTGCTGATGAATCCATCTGCTGGTTCCTCTGGTCAATCAAACTTGGCAGGAGGTTATTTCTTGATGAAACTCAGCAGCTGGAGACAAGAGAGGCTCTATCAAAGCTGCTTTCTTGACTAACAAAATCTGCAGCAGGAGTTTTGACATCTTATTAGGCTTCAAGGCAGCTGTGTTGGAAGGAGCCCTTGACGTGCCCATCCTCATTTTTGTCACGATTTTTTAATAGTTGTATTTTTGCAGTGACCTCCAGCTCTCAGCAGAGCTTCTCATCGCGTTGGAAGAGAGCAGCTACTCCATCAGAATGCTCCAAAAAGCTGCACCTTCCTGGGCATTCAGTTTGGGAGCTGGAAATGCAAAGGCTGAGGGGGAGGAATATTGCTGCAGTAAGCAGAACAATCCCAAATGCAGGGAGATAATGGAGACCTTGTCTGGACCTTGTATTGAAGGTCTTATCTCTTCCCAAGAGGGATTTGGGAGCACTTTCTTTTCCTGGAGAAGAGCTGGAGTAGCTGCATCACTTCTCCTTCTCTGCTGAACCAAGCAATGACTCCTAAATCCTTTCCACTTTTTTTTTTTTTTTTCCTGAGGAGCAGATGGAATAGCTCCATCATTTCTCATTCTCTGCTGGACCTATAATTGAGCCCCAAATCCTTTTCTTCCACTCTCTTTTTCTGAGGAACAGCTGGAATAGCTCCATCATTTCTCATTCCCTGCTGGACCCAGAATTGAGCCCCAAAATCCTTTCCTTCCCTCACCCTTTTTCTGGGGAACAGCTGGAATAATTCTATTATTTTTCATTCCTTGCTGGGCCCATAATTGAGCCCCAAATCCTTTTTTTACACTCCCTTTTTCTGGGGAACAGCTGGAATAACTGGGAAAATAATAACTCCCATCATTTTTCATTCCCTGCTGGACCAAGCACTGAATCCTTTCCTTTGCAGTGCCCAGAGCCAGAACTTCAGGAACACATCCTGCCATGGATCACCATGTCCCATGGGAGAACCAAGCCCCAAACTCACAGGGCTCTGTCCTTTTTCTCTCTTTGCTCCCAAGGCCTTTTGAACCTGGAGAAGCTGCTGCGGCAGTTCCTCATCTCCAAGGACACGCTGTCGGTGCGGATGCTGGACGACAGCCGGGACCCCACGCCGCTCCTGAAGGAGATCCGGGATGACAAGACAGCCACCATCATCGTCCACGCCAACGCCTCCATGTCCCACACCATCCTGCAGAAGGTGAGATCCACAGGGCGCATGTATTTCTTCTGGGGAGAAAGCTCAGAGACAGCTCAGAGACAGAGATAAGAATTATTTTCTCTTTACTTGGTGCTTCTGTTGTTTGGCATATGTGGAATGTGTTATGGAGATTGTTTACCAAAACTGATTTGTTAATTGGACGCTGGTGATGGTTGTTGATATTGATTGACCAATTAATACACAGTCAAAGCCACCATCGCCATCCATGCCAATGCCACCATCCTGCAGAAGGTGAGATGCACAGGGAGCAGCTTGCCCAAGGATTTCTCCTGGGGAAGGCAGTGAGAAAACTCAAAGAGAAAACAATTCTTAGGTCTACTTGCTGCTGGTGGTGTTTGGCACATGTGGAATGTGTTATGAAGATTATTTACCCAAAGTGATTTGTTAATTGGACTCTGGTGATGGTTGTTTATATTGATGGACCAATTAATACACAGTCAAAGCTGTGTTGTGACTGTTGGAGACAGTCATGGGTTTTTCTTTAATATCTGTTTAGTATGATATAGTTCTAGTATAGTTCTAATATCGTGTAATATAATATTTTACAAAGCAATTGTTCAGCCTTCTGAATAATTTAGAGTCAGAGCACATTATTCCTGCCTTGGGGTTGCCTTGTATTGATAGTGAGTATCCCTCCCCTGTCCTTTGGGGTGCTGCTGCTCCCCCAGCCAGCTCTTGTGGGATATGGTGATGACTTGTAAGGCTGGACAGAGCTAAAGAATAAAGCAGGGATTTATTAAAAGGCCTCAATGGATGCACCTTTTACTGCACCCAAGATGAACCAAAATGGTCCCAACGTGAACCCAAGATGAACCCAAATGGCCCCAAAATGAACCCAAGATGACCCAAAATGGCCCCAAAATGCACGAGCGCTCCCGGGGTCTCTCCCTTGGATCAGTTCTGCTCCATTTGCACCTTGCAGTTCATTGTCCCATTCCAGCTTTAGCCCAGGCAGTCCCACCCTGCTTGTTTTTCTCTCTCCAGCCCACGGTGTTTGTGCTCCTGGGCTGAGATTGGGATCATTTGTCCTTGGTGCCCAGCTGGAGCAGGAATTGTTTTGTCTCCCTGCTCTGTGCACAGAGCTCACCATGCCCTGATGTGAAACCCAGAACTGCACACCTAGGCAGCACAGAACCTGAAAAATATGAAAGCTAAAATTTAAGGTATCAATTGAAATGTGAAAATTTCCACAGCAGTGCTGGGAATGGGCTCTGCCCAGAGGGGAATTGCCATTGATGGGATTTCCAGGGCTGGATCTGTGCAAGTGGTGGTTGAATTGCTCTGAGGGGATGTGTTTGCTCTCCACAAGTGGTGTTGCCATCCAGGAGCTGTGAAGGACTGCTCAGCTTTGAATTGACTCTTGTGCCTCCTTTTCCCCTCCCATTAGGTGTCTAACTTTTTCCTTCCTTTCCTTTTTATTGTCTTATTAACCGAGATTTTATTTTAATCCTGTTTATTTTTAAATGGTCTCTGGCTGCAGTTTCTAGTGCTTGTTTTGATAGCCTGCTTCAAAACTGAGCAGTGGCTCCAGATGGAGCAGAGTTTCCCACATCCTGGAGGGAAGAAGAAGCACATTCCTGAAGGGAGGCAGGATCCAGGCTCTGGGATCCCCCTGGCTTTCCACCCTGTCCTGGCTCTTTTGTCACAGAATTTGTCATCCAAAGGCCTTGCCTGTGCCAGATTTACCCCTGATGGCATCCAGCAGGGATGCTTTTATCATTCATCTCTCCCCCCAGAATATTTTATTCTACAGCAGTTTTCATTTTTAAATAGACATTTTTGGGGGATTTTTGGGGGTTGTCTACTCAGGGGTTTTTTTGTGTGTTTTTTTCCCCTTTTTCCCCTGTTGCTGCCTGGCTGCTGAGGGCTGTCCCCCTCCCCTGTTGCTATAGTGACTTCCCACAGGCTCCCAGCAGCTCTCTCCAGGCACCCACATCTCCCTGCCCAGCTCCAGCCTCCTCCTGCCACCCCTCAGAAATGTCAGGAATTGCCAGCATTTCCCAGTTAAACCCAGTTCTTCCAGCTAGAGGACTCTAGAAATGGAGGGAATAAATAAAGAGCTCCTATCTGGCAACTTCTTGCACCTTGGGAGGCTGGGAGGTGTTTTATTGGGATGGTGATGCTGAGCATTCAGGTGGAGCCATGTCCTGTCCCACAGCAGGAATTTGGGTTTGCTGGGTCTGTCCCAGGAGAGCAGCCCTGCACAGTGAAAGGAATCTCCAGTTTCTCATCCCTCACCCTCCACAGATGGGCTGGAGACACATGGATGGTTCCCAGATTCCCAGCTGCCAGGTGAATGGATGGGGCAGGCACTGCTTTGCTGCTCACCTTCATTTCCTACCCTTGCAACCAAACCTCTGACCTCAGAGTGGGTCACAGGGAGGGCTGGCATTGTCACTGTCCCCAGGAAGGGATGAGCGGGGGGAATTTGGGCTAAATTTTGCTGTGGAGGGGGTGAAAAATGAGGGGGCAAACGGCTTTGCTGTGCCTGTTGTGTCACCTGGGTGAGGGACAGGGTAACAATGTCCAGCCAAGAGGGTGGGCACAGTGGTGGTGGCCTCAGCTTTGCCCTGGAACAGCTAAAATACAGGAAAAGGGAGAGGTGCAATCCCAGCTGCCTCTTTCTGTCTTCTCTTCCCTCATTTTTTGTTGTCACAGCTTCTGGGAGGGATAAAAGGGGCTCACACCAGGAGTGAGGTGCTTTGGTCCTTCCCTCCTTGCCTCCCATTGCTCTGTGTGGTCTGCACTGCTGGGAAAACCTCTCTGCCAGGGTCTGGGAGCTCGATTTGAGAGCAGCTGTGCTTGGCAGTGGAACAGAGGCTTCCAGGAGCATCTGCAGATTGATGCCCCACTTTCCTGAGCATCTGTTCCCACAACCAGCTCCTTGTGCAGTGAGAATTTTGGGAAAGGCCTTCAGTTATCCGCTCTGTGATCTCTAGAACAGATCATCCCCGTGGAACATTCTGTGTCCTTCTCTCTGCATCCCTGGACAGTTCTGCCCTGTTTTCTTCTGCTTCTGTGGCCAGCACAGCCCTGTCTCAATTCTGGAGAGCAGGCTGAGTTACTGGGTCTCATCCATGCTCATTAATTTGTGGGATTTGAGCCCAAATCTGACTGATAAAACTGGAAAGCCACCAGTGGCTTGATTGTCCTTTCCCTGCGACTCCCAGGAGCTTTTCCTGCCTCTCTGTCTCCATCATGGTGTTTGTGGTGGAAGGGACAAGCCTGGAGCTCTCAGCTGCTCTTTTCCCTTGTTATGCCCCAAAACAGGAGCAAAGCAGCATCCACACACAAAATAAGCAGAAATCCTTGTTTTCCTCTTAAAACATCATGGAATTCCTCATCCCAGGGGGTTCTGGAGCTCTCAGGACTGGGGCTGCAGGACCCACTTCACCTTTCCAAACCATTGAGGGCCACTGGGGTCTGTAAAAAAGCTTTTCTGCTGGGACTTTAGAAGCTTCTGCTTTCCACAGGTGATTTCCTTAGATTTAACCTTGGATGGATGCAGGAATTCCTTAATTCCATCTCAGAATGCCATGGAGAGAGCAGGGATGCTCCCAGGGTCTGGAGCTGGGTCATTTCCCTCTGTCAGGGCTGGTGTGGGCAGGAGACCTCAGCTAAACTCGGTCCTGGTGAAAAATTCCTTCCCCAAACTTTAATTTCCCAGGTCCAACCATGCTGCTGTGTCCCACCCTCCCTTCCTGCAAGGAGAGATAAGCCTGAAAAAGCAAAATCTCTGCCTTGCTGGAGTGGAGATTGGAGATTGTCAGGCTCTGGTTTAATCTCTTTTTTTCCTCTCCTTCACAGGCAGCTGAACTGGGGATGGCATCTGCCTATTACACCTATATCTTCACTAACCTGGTAAGGAGTTTTTCCCAGCTTTTCCTGCCTGAGTGTGGAGTCATTTTAATGGGAGCTGATCCCCCTGACCCATGGGCAGAGCCTCGTGTGCTGGGGAGGGAGGGAGTGAGACAGGGATGTCACCTGCTGCTAGAATCAAAAGGCAAAATCTTTCCAAATAATATAAAAAAAAAAAATTTCCTAAAGCAGTTCTGTAACAAAAGCTTGCTGTGCACACGTGGTATTGGATTTCTGCAGTTTTTATCAGGTTAATTAATTAGTTCATCTAACAGGTACATCCAACAAGAGACCAGTTGCCCCAGCAACCAACCCTTGGGTCTGCCCCTTGGAGTTGTTCTGTGTCTTGTTACATCTCTTAAATTCTGGTTCAAAACAAGATGTCCTCGTTAGAAATTCCTGTTGTTAAAAATCAGGCTAACCAAAAACTCAAGAATGTGTTAGGAAGGGTTGGCTTATTGTTCTAAAATGTGAGAAAGGGCAGGAAAATCACCAGAAACTCTAAAATTACATATTTAAAAGCTACTATGCTACAAATAGATGAAAAATATATAAAAAGCTGAAAAATATATAAAAAGCTAAAAAATCTTCAGGCATCATTCCTGCAAAGGAAGGTCTTGGGGAGGTGGAAAACAATTGGTGCAGCATCCAAAGGCAGGAATTGGGGACATTGTGACAGGAGCTGGGGCAATGGCATGTGCGAGTCTTTGGGAAGCTCCAGCAGGTGGGTGGATCCTGATTGTCCTGATTTTCCTGGTTGTCCTGATTTGTTTTCCTGATTTTCCTGGTTGTCCTGGTTTTCCTGGTTGTCCTGATTGTCCTGATTTTCCTGATTTTTTGGGGTTATGCTGGTGTTGTTACCCCATCACTTATCCCATTCCCTGTGTTGGAAAAGGCCAGGGATGAGCACCTGGAAGGCATCAGAGCCCTGAGACAAAGGAAGGATGATCCCGTAAATGTTGAGAGCCAGGGGATGGTTTGGCTTTACGGCCACAAATAACATTAATGGGATCATGGTGTGGTTGAAGCCCTCAGTGTAAATCCAAAATAAACATCAGAGGAACTTCTCCAGGAGAGGAGGAACCCCGCTGTGAGTGCTGCTGTGGGGCTGATGGAAACCAGGATGGGGGTGAGGTGGAGCTGCCTCCCAGCCCTAATGATTCTCCTATTCTCTAATTTCTATTAATAATTTCTGGCAGGGAAGCTGAGAGAGCTGAATCACACTTTGTGTTTGGGTGGGAGACAGACGGGAAGGGACGGAGCCAAACGTGTGGGCAGGGAGCTGGAGAGGATGGGGGAGCAGGGGAGGGAGGGAAATGGAGGGGCTGGGAGCAATTGGGGCACAGAGGGGAGAAAGGAGAAGGGAAAAGAGGGAAATGGAGGGGTTGGGAGCAATTGGGGCACAGAGTGGAGAAAGGAGAAGGGAAAAGAGGGAAATGGAGGGGTTGGGAGCAATTGGGGCACAGAGTGGAGAAAGGAGAAGGGAAAAGAGGGAAATGGAGGGGTTGGGAGCAATTGGGGCACAGAGTGGAGAAAGGAGAAGGGGAAGGAGGGAAATGGAGGTACAGAGTGACTGAGGCACAGAGTGGAGAAGGGAAAAAGGAAGGAAATGGAGGGGTTGGGAGCAGCTGGGGCACAGAGGGGAAAAGGGAAAGAAATTGAGAGGTTGGGAGCAGTTGAGGCATAGAGTGGAGAAGGGAAAAGGGAAAGAAATTGAGGGGTTGGGAGCAGCTGGGGCACAGAGTGGAGAAGGGATCAGGGGAAGGAGGGAAATTGAGGGATTGGGAGCAACTGGGGCACAGAATGGAGAAGAGAGAAGGAAAAAGAGAGAAATGGAGGGGTTGGGAGCAGTTGGGGCACAGAGTGCAGAAGGGATAAGAGGAAGGAGGGAAATAGAGGGAAATGGAGCAGTTGGGACACAGAGTGGAGAAAGGAGAAGGGGAAGGAGGGAAATGGAGGGCTTGGGAGCAGTTGGGGCACAGAGGGGAGAGAGGAGAAGGTAAAAGTGGGAAATTGAAGGGTTGGGAGCAACTGGGGCACAAAGTGGACAAAGAATCAGGGGAAGGAGTGAAATGGAGCAGTTGGGGCACAGAATGGAGAAAAGGATAAGGGAAGGGAGGGAAATGGAGGGCTTGGGAGCAGTTGGGGCACAGAGGGGAGGAGGAATAAGGGGAAGGAGGTGGCAAAGGGAGAAATGCAAGGAACAGAAAAGGCCATGAGGCTCCTGGCTGCGTTCCTGCTCAGTGGCCAGTCCATGGATCAGTCCAGCCAGGCAAACTTCACTGGTGCTGTTCATCCCCCTGGAATGGGCAGCACAGGCACAGGGAGGGAGTTCCAGGCAGGGAGGGAGCCTGGGGCTGTGCTTTGTGCCCCAAGCCACAATGTCACTGTGCTGGCAGAGGGACAGTGCCATCCCCACCATTCCCGCTCCCAGGAGTATCTCCAGTGCTCCCACAGCTCTTCCTGTCCCAGTTCCCTCCCCAACCATTCCCAGTCCCACAGAGCAGGGCTGGGCACACCGCGAGGGATCTCCACCTCACATCACCACGACATTCTGCAAAAAAAGCTTTTTTTTTTTTTTTTTTTTTTTTTTTTGAGTTGTTTCTGTTGTCTGAGCAGCATCTCATGGATGCTGCTCTAAAAATGAAGCTCCCACCTCCACCCCAGTCCTGAGCACGGGTGTGATTAAGCATTTGCTGGAGGTGAAATTTGCCTTTCAAACCCATTCATCTCGTGGAAGGCAGCAGTGGCAGGTGAGAAAGAAATGAGTTTTGTTGCCATTCGCTCTCTCAGGGTATTAATCTGTTTATCCAGGTTATTTTAGCACTTTGTTCAAAAGCCCAGCTCGTAGCAGAACTAACGGAATTTTTGGCAGGGATCATTATGGGGAAGGTGACATCAGGCAAAACCTGGGCAGATGGAAGAGATGTTTAAGGAAATTAGTAATATTTAAATGGGGATTGGAGATGGGAGTGAGCAATTTAGGCTCATAAATCTGGAGGGATTATCAAGCTCCTAATGAACCCTCTGAGGCTCTGCAATCACTGCCTAATAGAAAAGATAAAATCAGAGGGAACTACTGTCAAGGGGAGCAAGGAAAAAATGGCTCAAATGGAGAGAGAACCCATCAGGAGAGGGAACAGAGAGCCTGTGGAGCACTGAGCTGCTTGGAGATGGAAAAATATCTCAGGCAAAAAAAGAAAAAAAGAGGAGAAAATAGGATAAAATGCTGAATTAAACACCTGCCCTGCAGCTCTAGAGGGGAGCTCTGTTTCTGTCTTTTAGCATTAATTTTATTTAATAAGCGCATCCCAGCTGACAGCTCTGCTCTCTGCGAGTGTGAGAGGAGGGAATTCTGTGTGTGCTGGGGACAGGAGGGGATTTTGGGGTGATTGTCCCCTCCGTCCCAGCCTGGTGGCACCAGGGAGTGGCACTGGGGCAGATGGGGAGGAACCCTCAGCCCCCAACACATTTCCATGGGAGCTGAAGTGAGCAAACCAATACAAAAACACCCACAGGCTCCTTTCCTGCGTGCAAATTCATTATCAGCCTCCTTCAGCCAGCCCCAGGGACCTGCTCTTGTCAGCAGCAGCCTGGCAGATTTTCCAGGAGTCCTCATGGAACTCTCAGGTCTGGTGCATTTTGTCTTCCCCACATCCTGCATTTGGGGCACTCCTGGCAAAAAATCCCATTTTCTCCCCTGGCACATCCATGGGGTGATGGTTCCCTGGATTTGGGACTTTGGGGAGGGATGAAATTCCCTGAAATTCCCTGAAGAGGTGCTGGGATGATCTCAGAGCTGTTCATCATCCCCACCATCCCCATCATCCTCATCATCCCTTCCCTTCTCCCTGGCTGGGTCTCCACAGAGCTCACGGCCATGTGAGGGGGCAATGATGTGCAGAATAATAATAATAAAATATAATTTAAAATATAATAAAATAATAATAATAATAATAATAATAATAATAATAATAATAATATGCTGCACAAATAGACCACTGAAAGCAGACTGCTGTGCATTGAAGAAAAATCTTCCTTCCAGCACTGGAAATCCCTGAAATCAGCAGCACAGAGTAGGAGGGGATGTTGGATGCCTTCAAAACCCCACGCTACAATTAATTCTTTTAGCTTGTTAATTTTGTGCAGCTATTGGGTTTTGTCTTTTTTTTTTCTTCTCTCTCTGTTTGGTTTGTTGCTTTTTTTTTTTTTAATAATATCCGGACCTCAGGCTGGGTTTAAATTTCAAAATATTTGACAATTAGATGGGAATAATTGAAACAATTAAAATTATTACTCCAAGGGGGAAGGTGTAAAGGAGCTTTCCCAGTGCCTCAAGTCAGGCAGGGCAATTCACTGGGTGCAGTTTTGTTCCCTGACAAAATTGTGTGCAGGTGTTGCTGCTGATAAAACAGCTGCCGTGTTCAACTCCCACAGACCAGATAAATCAGCTCAGGTTTGGGGTTTTTTTGTCTCGTTTCCTGCCTTCTCTTCTTTGTTTGGTGATTTATAAAGAGGTCTGGGTACAGGACGAGGTTTTTGAGCTGAATTGTCAGCCTGGAACTGGAGCTGGAGGGGAAATTGGTGTCCAAATCCCCCAGAGAGTGTCACACATTTCTGCTGTGTCTTGTCAGCAGGGTGACATCCCTCGGAAGGAAGGGATGATGTCAAATCAAGCACAGGGACAGGGAACTACAGACAAGGCTTAGGTTTTGCGAAATTGCCTCTTTGTGGTGAAACAATCTTATTTTTCACCGTGAGCTCCAGCACAGGCCGTGGTGTTTGCCCTCCCTGTGCCTTGCCCAGGTGACGAAGGCAGAGGATCTCAATGCCCTGGGACAGATTTGCCCTCCCAGCCCTCCTGGTTGCCAGCAGCTGATGTGAAGTGTTCTGGAGAGCCCTGATCCTTGCTGGGATTTATGGATCATATTTCCAGTGCCATGTGCTGGCAGTGCAAACAAATCAGGCTTTTGCAAGGCTGCCAAGGCAATTTCTCCTCGTTC